TGCTTAGAAAATGAATCTTTTCATTGGCAAGGTAAAACTCGAATCTAAAGTGACATCTCTGTGTGAAAAGTGACAGATCTGTGTGAAAATAAATTGACAGCATCATAATTTTAACAGCTGTCATACACGTTTTTAGGTTATTTTGTTTTGTATTTGAAAATAATAAAAAATAAATGTGTCCTAGAAAAAACATTGTATTTATTTCACTTGTGAGAAAAGCTTTCTTCAAGCTCATGTTATTGCACACTCGGCCTAACGGCCTCGTGAGCAACTTAAACACTCGCTTTTTAACACTTGTAAAACAAATAACTATTACAATGTCAGTAGGTACGTTAAAATTAAAAAGATACCTACATATAAAAAATTTTATAATTATTGTTAGTACCAATTGGTAGTTAACTATAAAATTGATTTGAACTTTTCTATTATTTATTATTGTGTTAGTTGTTACAATAGGCTGTAATAAAAAATACTTTTAAAAATAAGTTAAATATTAGTTTTGCATTCAATCATGCAACTTACTATCTAGATATCGCTACCTTTTGAAGAATCTAAGAAAAAAAACATTATCAATAACTATATTTAAATTTATACGTATAGTAGGTATTTGAAATAATATTAAATTACCTATACTTGGATTTTTTTGGTAAATTTAAAAAATAAGGTCAATTAGCAGGCGCGTGCTGGCCCAGTTTCCCGGTGGGCTCCAATAAATTGGCCACAAGGGGCCCCACGACCCAGATGCGCGATAAATTTAAGTTAGCTGTTATTAGCAGGAACTTGTAACAAAACCTCGTATAAAAATGAAACTCCGTTTCTGCCGAAATTGTTTCAAATAACATAAAAAGATTAAAACAATCAAAAACGGAACGTTGGAAATCGTTTCCAACAAGTAACAGAAGGGTAACAAAACTAGCAAAACTCTAAGGAGAACCGAAACACCGGGTATACCCGTATATACCCCCCATATATGGAAACGAGAGACTAAACTATATATTAACGTTTCTCGTGTATCGAAATTGTAAACTTATTACCGCCCGACATGGTCATTAGGTATACCTAATTGATTGACTTTACTGCGTGAGTGATTTACTCGCGCATCTAAACTCCACGTTTTTTTGCTCAATTTACCCGCGCTACTTACAATCTTGATTTACCTGTGCGACTTACTCGTGCATTTTACTTGCGAGTGTTACCCGCGCGACATACCTGCGGCTTTATTGTGCATTTTGTAAATGTTTTTAAAAATTCAATGTTTGGTTTCAGTATTTTTACTCAGTAAGTGTTACCAGTTTCGTTTTAATATCCCGTATTTCGGTTGTTGTTGCGCACCTGCGATTTTCATTATAAACAGCTTCGATAACAATTTTTTAACCGTTATTTAGTTACTTGTTTTGGTACTATTACGTATTATTTCTCAAAGTTTCGTTAACATTGTCAAGGGCGCATGTTTCGATTCAATTTAGTTTCAATCCTTACATGAAGAACGTTATCGGGTAACGTAACGTTCTGCTGATCGATACAGCACCATCTCTTTTCAAGATACTTAGATAAGTTATAGCGAATAATTTAGCGGGAAAGTAATAGTAAACTTAACGTCTGTAAATGGTGTGTGCTTGTTTATTAGTTCTGCAAAGTAAGTACCTTGATTTTGTTTGTTTTAAGAAATATTTTCTGCATGTATGTATATTGTAGGGCTGTACAATTTTGCCGGTTAAGCCGGCTAAAAAAGTTATCTAAGTTAATTAGCTAGCTAACTGATCAGCTTACCTAATTTAACCGGTTAACTGAATTAGCTCAGCTAATTAGCTGGCGGCTTAACCAGTTAATCTAGCTTAGCTCAGCTAATTAGCCGTTTAGCCGTTAGATAATTAGCTGAGCTAAGCTAGATTAACCGGTTAAGCCGCCAGCTAATTAGCTAAGCTAATTCAGTTAACCGGTTAATTTAGCTAAGCTGATCAGTTAGCTAGATAATTAACTTAGCTAATTTTTTAGCCGGCTTAACCGGCTAAATTGTACCAACAGCCCTAGTATATTGTATCTCTAAATCTATTATATTTAATGAATTTAGTAACGAAAGTGTATACACTTTATATATAAAATGCAGAATATTTTCTTAAAAACCGGTGTACCCATTCACCCCATAGAAATGAACTTATCGGGGTAATAGGGAACGTCAAAAATGGGCAATTGGGAACGCGGTCTCATTTGCCCCTAAATGCCCAGTCAAATGTATAATGTAATTTTCGTTCAAGGTACCAAACTTATTAACGCTAAAATTGTTCGAAAATACATTAAGAAGCGTCCAGAGAGGAATTATACAGCAGAAGATCTTGCTGCAGCTGTTAACGATGTCGTTAAACGTCAACGCTCAAACCGCAATGTATCAGAATATTACAGTATTCCAAAAACTGTTATTACCAATAACCAAATAATAGGGGTTTTACCCAGTGAATTTGTTTGGATTTTGGTTATCCTATGGATAAAAATGAATTATTTGACTTTGTGAAAGACTTTTGCAATTACAGAAATTTAGAGACGCCCAAGTCAGAATTGGTATACAAATTTTATGAAGCGACATCCTCGGTTGTCTCTTAAAAAAGATCAAAGTTTGCAGAATAAAGGAGCCGAAGCAGCTGATCCTTTTGTGGTAAAAGACCATTTCAAAAAATTATTGTAGGTGAAAATAATTTGAATGAGTGTCCTGAATTCTTTTTAATTGAGATGAATTAGGCTTTTGTACTGATCCTTCTAAAATAAAGTCAATTGGTATAAAGAATAAGGCTTTATACCAACGCATACGGGGCACAGGACGTGAAAATATAACAATCAATGTTTGCGTGAGTGCAGACGAAGCGGCTTTACCGCCCCATATTATCTTTCAAGGATGTGATGTTTTACCGCGATGGACAGGCGAGGGTAAAGATTTTCCGGGTACAGTTTATGCAGCTACAGCAAAAGGTTATATGGAAGAACCTGTCATTTACAGTTGGTTTGCTGACAAATTTGTTCCCCATGTAAATGACTTGCGAGCAAAATTACCGAATAAGCGTAAAGATCAAAAGAGCTCGACTTGTACAATGTGCTTTAGGAAATAATATTATCCTATTTCGTCTCCCTAGTCATCTTACCCATCGTTTACAGCGGCTAGCTGCTCGACTATGGAGTATTTGGTCCCCTGAAAAAAAACTGAGACGGAATTATATTAAAGGAAATGAGAAAAACGTTAGGGGTAACAAATAAAAATAAAATGACTCGAAAAGAGTTTTCATTGGCGGTTAAAGACTTATGGATGCACCACCTGACACCCGACATAATTGTTTCTGGATTTTACGGCACATGCTCCCTTCCAGTAGATCGAACAAAATTTCCTCAATCTGATTTTGACCAAGCAGCTCTAGCAAGATTCCAAAAATATATTCATCAAGAAACTGTAACCAGCCAAAATCAACCTACGACAGGTAATAAGACTATAATAGTTGGTGGCACGCAACCTTGTTATTCTAAAACTGAAATACTTAGTCACAGACGAACCAAGTGACTTTCACATCTCAAACTGCGCCTACAGAAAATGTCGACTATTCAACCAGTTCAAAAGAAGTTCAAGACCCCGCTACCATTCCTTGTAATAGTGGAACCAATGCAAACATTCTTATGAACGCAAATGTTGTACCAAAAAGAAGTGCGATAGACTTTTTCATGAATACTTTAAAAGATAATATGCATAATTTAAGTCCTCCAGTAGCTAAAGAAAAACAAATAAGACTCAAGCACTTGAAATATGGAGAAGTTCTTACTTCCCAACAAGTACTAGAACGTCTACACCAAGAAGAGGAACGTCGACAAAAAAATAAAGGCCTGAGAAGAAAGAAAACTTATAAAGCCAAAGAAACTAAAGAAAAAACAAAAAAAATGAAATAGATAAGTCAAATCAAAAGAATCCAAAGAAAAGGTCTAAAAGAGAATACTCTGATAGGAAAACTAGCGAAGATAGCTAATTAGAAAAGGAAATGTAAGATTGTATGAAAAATAGCGACAGTGATATGAGTTGAAAATATAAATGAACAAGAAGAGTACGAAAATGTACAGGGAATAACTGATAAAATTGCTAAGCATGCAGTAAAAGAAGCCAAAGAAAGTCGAGAAACCACTAAGAGAACTGAAAAAAAAAGATGGATAAGGAGGATGAGCCATCTCAAGCAAAGGCACAGAATATATCCAAAAAAGTGAATCTTGTGTGCGACGAGAAAAGCGACATAACCCCGGGTTTTAATAATGCAGAAGAATATCCAGATGAGCAACAAGGGATTAAAAATGGGTCATAAACATTAGCAGTAAGAGACATTTTTATGGTTGAAAACGACGTAGAATTTTCTGACAATAAAAACCTTGTTAATTCCTACATGGCATTCAGCAGCATGAAAACATGGTACGTTGGATGTATATTAGAGATTATATCAACTAATTATGTAAAAATAAAGTTTTTGGAAAGAATTGGAAGCACCTTCAGATGGCCAAGAAATGATAAAATTGAATATGTATCCCAAAAATCTTTTTTAACACCTGTAACGTTACACAGTAATTAAGGGTTTCATTCGTTAATAATATAATACACTTTTCTTGCGTAATAAAAAGTGTATTATAAGACTTATAATTTTTTTTCTGGATGGTTTTTGTTTTAAGTAGGTTTAAATGGTTTTTTCTTATTTGACCCACATAAAATACAATGCGTTCTTATGCTAAGTTATAAAGTGTTCTTATTTGCCTCACTTGAAGGCGCAAAAAGGAACACCTGACTTGTAAAAAAAAAAGTTAAATTTATGTACCTTTTACTTAAATTTCTATGCATGCTTTACTCAAATAATGTTTAGTCTAACGCTTGCTTAAATATAAAAGCGTTTCATGCTTCCATTTATTTGCGAGAGCCAAAACAATCGAAACATAAAATAAGTCTACCCAATTACCCCAATTGACCTTAAATATTTTAAAGTGTTACTTACCACTGGTGACGCTTCAGGGGCCGGGGGGTTGCACACTTTACTTTTACACTAAAATAAAATAATAATAAAAAAATTATCCATAAAAAGTTCATTTGTTTTGCCACCATATAATTGGGTACATTTATCTTGTTTAATAATAAGAAGTTATATTGTATTGTTTTTACTTAGCAATCTTACAACTTGCTTTATTATTTATGATATTATATTTTTTGGCTAATAAGCTTTAAGTCATTTTATTTTGCGATTAAAATATTGTGTCTATTCAAAACTTTTTATCATAGTTGACGTTTGTTTAGTCTTGAAAATAACATAAAATTAACTTAATAACATGTCTGTATTAAGAAACGCTTTTTATCGAATAACTTATAAGAAGAACATGTTTTTACCGATGTTTTAGCAAGGGCTTTTTTCCCTGCAGGGCCAGTTGTAGTAGGATCATCTCTTGTGGTTTTGATAATTTGAGTTTCGCCCTTTATCTCTCCACCTGCTGCAGCTGGTTTCTGTGCCGCCGGCTGAGCTGCTTCATCTGCAGGCGGAGGAGCTGCTTCATCTGCAGACGGAGGAGCTGCTTCATCTGCAGCCGGCGGGGCTGCTTCATCTGCAGCCGGCGAAGCTGCTTCATCTTCAGCAGGGGGGGCTGCCTCTTCTGCTGCTGGGGAAGCAGGTTCTTCTGCATCCGGAGGTGCTGCTTCCTCAGCATCAGGAGGCTGTTCCTCCTCGGACATGTTTACTTTCTTTTAGGTTTTATAATAGTAGGTACTGGTAATTTTTAAAGAGTTTTGCTGAAAATGGACGTTTTGTGTCTTTTTGACACTTTATACAGACATGACTGTACTTTGATTATTGTTATGTATCCAAGTTTGGTATTTCATAATAAGTATTTTAATTTTGATTAGTTGGTCAATTAATTATTAATTGATTAATTGATACTTATACAGGGTGTCACCTAATAAATGATCATCCTTTGGGGGAATAGTACACGCCAAAACAAGAAAGTTTTTCCTCTAACATTTTTGCATTAGAGCTTCTGTTTCTTAAAAAAAAAATTATTAAATTTTTTTGACAAAACCAGGGAGCCACTGGATGTCACTGACCTATCCTATATATCATCATTGTTTTTATCTCTAAAGACAATGATATTATTCATCCAAGCAAAAAATTAACAGGTGTGCGCATAGTGTAGTGTAGTGTTTTTAGTACTTTGTTATCGTTGATTACTGATAGTTCGGTTGGTATTGTTGTTATTATTTTTGATACTCGTACGTCCGCATTATTCAACGCATATTCAATGCGATTTACCAACGCCGAGTATACCGCCATGGTCCTATTTTATGGCAAATGCCATGAAAACGCGAACTGTGCCGCTCAACTGTATGCGGAGACTTTTCCCCATAAGGATCATCCTGATCGTCGCACAATCGTTCAGGCTGTACAAAGATTGCGTGAGCGGGGCACTTTCAGGCATCACGTAGGTGATCGTGGGCTATTTTGCGATCTCCTCCTTCAGCAGGCTAGGGCTAATCCGTGCAATTTAGACTTTGTGTTGTGGACTAATGAGTCAACGTTTGGGCGGGCATGTTAAACAACCAACTTATAGGGCCTTTTGTACTTCCGGCACGTTTAAACGGTGATACTTATTTAGATTTTTTACAAAATGTTCTTCCTAATTTAATCGAAGACGTACCGTTAGAGATTTTTCGCCGCATACGTTTTATGCACGATGGAGCTCCGCCACATTTTTTAGCTAACGTACGGGCGTATTTCGATACTGAATTTTCCAATAACTGGATTGGTCGTGGCGGTCCCACTCCTTATCCCTAGGATTATTTTCTTTGGTGCTACATGAACAGTTTAGTGTACCAGAGCGAAGGTGACACATTGGAGCAACTCCGCGAACTTGTCACTGCAGCAACAGATGAAATCCGAAATAATCCGAATATAATAGCAAGACCCTTGCGAAAAAAATGCCTAAATTTTGGGCATTAATGACTAACTTAGGCATAAATGCCAAAAATTAGGAATTAATGCTGAAAAGTTAAGCATATATGCCTAACTTGGGCATTTATGCCTAACAGTTAGGATTGAATGCCTAACTTGGTCATTTATGCCGAACTGTTAAGCATAAATGCCTAAGAGTTAGGATTGAATGCCTAACTTGGGCATTTATGCCCAACAGTTCAGCATAAATGCCTAAGAGTTAGGATTGAATGCCTAACTTGGACATTTATGCCCAACAGTTCAGCATAAATGCCTAAGCGTTAGGATTGAATGCCTAACTTGGGTATTAATGCCCAATAATTTAGCATAAATGCCAAAGAGTTAGGATTAATTGCTCAATAATTTGGTATGTGAATTCAATGATTCAATGTGTTGAGATTAAATACCTATTTTGGGCATATATATGACTGGTATATGCTACTTTTTTGTCAAATATGTAATAAGTAAAAGAACATATTCAAAGACCAAGCTCATCCTCCTTCGGACATCCATACAACTCCCACTCCTTCCGCCCAGCATCGAAGGCAAGAATCATACATAACCTAGATCTCAACAAATACAGCCTTAAACTAGACCTATTTGAAGATTTGGAAATATCCAACTCATTCAAAAATAAACTTGAACAATGCTTGAACTCACAAATTAATTTAAATAGAAATTTATTTATTTATTTAAACATTTCCTATAAGCATTTCATGATTGATGATGAAAAAAAACATTTATTGATTCCGTCCTCCCGGGGAGGACCTCCCCCCACCATTGCTTATTTTTTAAATAACCTTTTTGAGTTGTAACTACTGTATTTGATTTTATTAGTTAAGTTAATTTAAATTACCCGCTAATTTTAAGATTATGAAGTTGGCACTAGTTAAACGTCAAAATTAACGTGGTTTTTCTGTAAAAGATAAAATGTAAAATTTGTTATGTTAAATTCCCTTCAGGGCTATATGTTTTTCAACTTATGTTCACTGCTACATATAAATGTAAGCTCGCCTTGACAAGTAAGTAAAAAATTTTAACCCACCTATTGAAACTAATGTTTACTTACTTTTCAGGGCTAGCGCGGATGATGTCATTAGATTAAATGACGAAAGCGCTTGGCTACTCATTTTTTTTTTTAAATAAATATACCGACATACAAAAATACACCCCTTTTATTAAATGAATAGTTTTATTGAATCGATTAGGCATAATGCCTAAGTTCGGCATTATTCCCAAGTTAAGCATAATGTCTAAGTTAGGCATTATTCTCAAGTTAAGCATAATGCCTAAGTTAGGCATTATTCCCAAGTTAAGCATAACGCCTAAGTTAGGTACTCAAAATCATGTCTAACTTTTTAGGCATTAATGCCTAAAAGTTAGACATTAATGCCTAAAATTTAGGCATTTTTTTCGCAAGGGGAGCGACATATAATAATTTTCTACGCCGCTTTGTGTGGATAATAACGGCGGAATATTTGAACATTTATTATAATTTTTTGGAACACTTGAAAACCACGGAAACTTCGAGATACCTAACAATAAAAAGTAAGTATTGTTTTATTCAAAGTACCTAAAGTATGCAAAACAAAAAACAATTATCAACAAGTAATGAATGATAACACAAATGTAAATTTTTAATAAATGTAGAGTATTGCCCACTGTGCGAGCATGTTTTAGTAAAGGCGGGCACTGACTTGAGCCGAGCTTTGTAATGTAATGCTCAAGGCGAGCATTACATTACAACGCTCGAGCTCAGATCGTTTTCTTGGTGCCGCGAATGCTCATTTTGAATCCTCTGCTCAACAGTGCTCCATTTAGTCAGTTCCGAAATGGCGCGCACTGACTTGTAATGTAACAATCAAAGGGATTCGCTAAAAAACCGACACTCAAGTGGAGCACGGATGCTCCGTTCGCCGCTCGCCGTTCGCGTTCGCTTCGCGCTCGTTTATACGCACTGACTATCGAATGTTCGTGTTACATTACATTACATTACAACGTTCAGTTGCAAGTCAGTGCCCGCCTTAATTTGTCGTAGGTCAGGAACAACCAGTGGCGTCTCAAAATTTCTACTTTACTTATAAAAATTTTAATGATTTTTTTATTAAAAAAAAATGGCACTAATGCAAAAATGATGAAGGAAAACTTTCTTATTTTGGCGTGTACTATCATCCCCTTAAAGGATGGCAACTTATTTGGTGACACTCTGTATAATATACGTTATATTTATGAATTTGGCTTTTCCTTTAGTTAAAAATAAGATTAGATTGGCAAAATTGAATTAAAATACTTTATTGACAAAGAATTCTTTCATATTTATAAACGTCATCTAAAACAAAAGAGAACGACGCAAGAAATATAAATAAGAATACTATTCTGTCTTAAGTATCCTTTGCTCACAAAGACTAGAGACCCCTTCAGAGTTTTCTATGAGACAGGAGTACAAACCCATATGGATGGGGGTGAGGCAAAAAGCCTCTGCAATGATAAAATTAAAACGTACTACGTCATACTTGATTGGGATTGGCCCTAATCAGATTGCAGTGCAGTTTGTATTTGTTCTGTGCCTGCGTTTTTGTCTTATAAAAATACGCATCAAACATAGTTTGTCCTCCTGTCTCTAGTCTTTGTAGATTTGTCAAACTATAAAACTTATGACGGCCATTATAACAACAAAAGATGGAAATGGAAACTCAAAATATAATAATATAATATAATGTAATAGTAGGAAAGAAATTGGATGAAAATGTAGATTAATGTACCATGCTAGACATACACAATCCACAAATTGTGCACACATCAAAGACCCACCACGTGACTTTGACACAAATAGTTAAAGTTGGGTTTCTGTCACTGTCAAGCTAATTTCGTCATATTTTCTGAAAATAATGCAATATAATATATACACAAAAATACATATTATGTATTTTTGTGTATAAAGGTCATCATTTAGAACACAAAAATACATATATTGTATTATTTTCGGAAAATAAGACGAAATTAGCTTGACAGGGACATAAGCTCGGACATAAGTCATAGTTTAATTAAATATTGGTCCATTTTCACTTTGC